CCCCAAAACCCCAAAACCCCAAAACCCCAAAACCCCAAAACCCCAAAACCCCAAAACCCCTTCCAGCACAAACAAAATTGAACCATAAAAATTAGCACGGGTTTAGTCCTCGATAGGATTATTAAAGATGAAATCAATCAGCCCTTCAGCTACTTCCTGATCAGAGGGACTATACAGGACACACACTCTCAGCTTGTCCTTATAAATTAAGTGAGATATCTCATTGGCTGCCATCGTAAGCCGGAAATTGTACTTAGAATCATTGGAATCTGGAATCTCATAGTTGCTTATCTTAGACAAAATCTTATTACCATTATTCATTAAGATTAGTTGCTGAACATTTTCATTAGGCAGATAGCCTTCCTCAGAATAATTAGACCTATCAGATGCTTTGAGATTCAAAGAACTCCTTTCACATGATGATATAGAAAAGACGCAAACTCTGTCTCTGTTTGGGGAAATGAAGCACAGAATACATTTGCAGAGAGAGAAATCAAGTTAAGAATTGGGTTTTGGCCTTCTACTTCCTGGTTATCTTCAGCTGATAGCTCTTCAGCATCTTGATCCCTGTCTTCCTCACTTTTACTTTCTTCTCGAAAATATTGAGCATGGCCAGGGTGTGAATTGTCTCTATCATATTTATCTTCGTAATTATATCTGGCATCCATATAATCTTCTTCATCACCTAAGTCCATATCTTGAGGGTAATATTCCTCTTGTTTCTCATAAAACTCTTCATTGTGAGCTCCATATTTGGACTCTTCTTCAGGCCCAAAACTTCTGTCTCTCTCATATTGGTCAGGATGATCTTCAAATTCTCTAGAGGATCTCCGGTCTTTCTCCTCATCTCTTTGTCTAAGAAATTCATCGTCATTTTTGTAAGGAGTATAAACAAGTTTCTTGTCGATAGATCCTCTTGCAGTTAATTCTGAAAACAAACTAGTGTATATCTCATCATCGAAAATAGTCCCATATTCTCTAGAGGTTTTCTTCAAAGGATTATGTATATAGATATCCTGATCTTCAGGGTCCAAGCCAGGATTATGCAGCCTTAGCTTGAAATGCATCTTTTTCAAGACTTCTTTGACTGATAGATAAAGTTTGTCAGTGTAGATAACCCCACTATAGAACATTGTAAGATCTTGAGGAGGATTTCGAGGGTATTCATCAGCGTTCATCTTTCTCATAGTCTTGAATTTTGTGTACTGAGAACCTCCTGTAGCCCCTCTCTCCCTGATTTTAGTTGAGACTTGGAGGTCATTTTGAGATCCGATTTCACACCGTACTTCAAATTTGACACAAAAAATACCCCATGAATTCTTAACTGTAGGGAAACCTTGATGATAGTCTTTGTCAGGGATTTCATCGAGATCAGCTGTCCTAATCAAGACAGGATCATCGAAATTTCCTTTGGAGGTTTTGACTCTGAAGGTATACTGAAACCTCCTTGAATTAACCTTATGATATAAGAAGTGGTTGTATTTATTTTTAGGATCTGGATCCATGGATGTCTTGCTCCTAATCCAGCTGGCTCCTTCATTCTTCCTCGTGTAGAGCCTAATAACAGGATTCTTCTCATTGTAATATTCGTATTCAAATTTAACAAGAGTCTCAGAATCATCCATTTCTGATAAATTTCCACTTTTTTAATTATAAGTGTAATTCTTCAGTTTTTGAAAATACTTTGGGGTTTTGGGGTTTTGGGGTTTTGGGGTTTTGGGGTTTTGGGG